ATCATCATCATCATCATCCTCATCCTCATCAGCTGCATCATCATCATCAGCAACGTCAGCATCAGCATCAGCATCATCATCATCAGCATCATCATCAGCAGCAGCGTCATCATCATCAGCATCATCATCGTCGTCACCGTCGTGGGCGTCGTCATCGTCATTGTCATCGTCAGCAGCAGCAGCAGCATCAGCCTCAGCATCTCACCCCCATCAACATCACCATCAGCATCATCATCAGCATCATCAGCATCCTCATCATCATCATCATCAGCATCATCGTCATCAGCATCAACAGCATCATCAGCATCATCACCATCATCAGCAGAAGCATCAGCATGATCAGCATCATGAGCATCATCATCTTCTTGATCATGATCCCGACCCTCCATATACGCCTCCTCCTCCTCCTCCTCATCCTTGTCATCCCAGCTCCCGCCGTCTTCTCGCCCTCCTCCTCCTCCTCCTCGTTGTAGGCATCCACGTCTCTCTAGTCCTGCCCCTTATACTCCTCATCACCCTAATCACCATCATTATCATCATCATCATCATCATCATCAGCATCATCATCATCATCAGCATCATCATCATTATCATCATCAGCATCATCATAATCAGCACAGTCATCGTCATTATCAGCATCATCATCATAATCAGCATCGTAATCGTCATCATCAGCATCATCATCATAATCATCATCATCAGTAGCATCATCATCAGCATGATCATCATCCTCATCATCCTCATCATCATCATCACCCCTCCTTCCCCTTCCTCCCCTCATCCTCCTCCTCCGCATCATCGTCATCGTCATCACCCATACCACGACCTGCATCCTCACCATCAGCATCATCATTGCTATCTTCGTCATAACCAGCACAACCACCATCATCATCATCATCAGCAGCAGCAGCATACTCATCAGCAACATCATCATCAAGATCATCGTCGTCATCATCAGCGTCGTCATCATCAGCATCAGCATCACCACCACCGTCATCACCAGCATCACCACCACCATAAACATCACCATCACCATCACCATGACCATCACCATCACCATCATCAGCAGCATCATCAATATCATCAGCATCATCGTCATCGTCATCGTCATCGTCATTATCATATTCATATTCAGATTCGTCAGCGTCAGCGTCATCGTCATCGTGATTTTCATCAGCAGCAGCAGCATCCACCGCCTCAACCTCAACAGCCTTATCTTCCAACTCACCCTCCTCGTCGTCCTCCTCCTTCTCCTCTTCGATCTGATCCTCCTGGCCCTCCTAATCCTCCTCCCTCTTGCTTTGCACCCGTCTTCTCCACCTCCGATGGTGCTGGCGCCGACGGCGACGGCGATGGCGACTACGACGGCGGCGGCAGCAACCGCGCACGAGGCTGGCCTGGAGGCCCATCCTTCCCGCGAGGTCGGTGTACCCGATGATGGTGACGCCGTTGTCTGGGGGAGGGGGCTCCTCCTCCTCCTCCTCCTCCTCCTCCTCCTCCTCCTCCTCCTCCTCCTCCTCCTCCTCCTCCTCATCCCTCGACGTGCAAGGTGAATCCTCGCCGCTTACCTTTGGGTAGCGGCGCGTGGGAAGCCCTGCGCTCTTCGCGACGTGGCGCCACGCAGGCAGCCCGCCCGGGCTGGGCTTGTTGGCCTCCCCTGGCTCCTCCACGGGGGCCTCCTCTGGCTCCTCCAGAGGACTCAATGACCAGCGGCAGTAGGATCCAAGGAATGAGGCTGGTAGGGGGCCACATGCGAACCCTACCCCTACCCCCCACGATTTCCGAGCGAAGTGAACCCCACCCTCCCCCTCAGAAATCGTGGGGGGTAGGGGTAGGGTTCGCATGTGGCCCCCTAGCTGGACTCTCTGAGGGTTGGCGGGGCTGGCAGTTGCGTCGGGCGCCGCGGCCGTCCCAGAGTGTTCCGGGGCGCCCTGCTAGCATTCCGGCACAATCCGGAGCGGTGGACGCGAGCTCCTCCCAAGCCTGCCTGGCCTGCCCCACTCCCAAGAGGGGGGGACCGGCCTTCCGTCGTGAGCAGTCCTTGGGACGGCCCTGGGGTCCGAGAGACGGCCTCTGGACGCCGAGAGCGGCGATGCACCTCCGCCTCGGGCTTCGTGGCCAGGCCGTGGCCGTGCGCCTCGGAATCGAGCCGCGGCGAATGAGGGTGCCCCAGCGGGGGCGCAGACGACGCAGGAGCAGCCTCTCGTCCCCAGAGATCCGATGTGCGAGGCCCCCTGGTCCCGGCACTTCCCCATCGGGGCCCACTTGTTATCCCGAGCCGTTCCGTGTTCACTGTCGCAGGGCCCGACGAGGGCCTCCAGAGGCCCAACGCGCCCAAAAACCTCCCGTCGCTGTTCTTGTCCACGGCGGGGGCATGTCGGGGTTCGGGGGTTCAAAGGCGGGGTCCTGAGGGATGGGGTCCTCAGGATAGGAAGGGATCCAAGGGTGGGTTTCCACTGTTTGAAGCGCCTCGTCCGTAGGACCCCATCCCTGAGGACCCCATCTTTGAACCACCGGCAGGGCGGCCCTGGGCCGCCTGTGACGTACTTCTCGCCGGCCCTGGTCAGCGTGCAGTTACCCCCGCCAGCGGCGGCGAGGTCGACGATGACGCTGCCTGGCTTCATGTCTTTCACCTGCCGGCCGGGGCGGGAGAGGCCACCTCCTCCTCCCTGCACATCCCTCCTCCTCCTCCCTCCCCCAACTCACTGAGGTGCGCCCACGCAGGCGACTAGTTGCGCCACCGACTCGGGGCCACATCCGGCCCCGATGGGCCGCCCTCTCCGCTCCACTTTCCCTCCTTCTGGCCTCATCCTCCTTCACGCTCGCGCACAAAAGGTGCGGGCCCTTGTGCCGTGGTGCGGCGGCCTGGCTCCCGCAGGCCCCGCCGCTCAAGGCTGCCCCATCCATCTGGGCTTGGCGCTGCTCCGCTGCCACGCTTGAGCCGCTGTGAAGCCACCCCTGCGCGATCGGACGCGCGCGAGCGCGTGCGCGATCGCGTGCGCGTGCGTATGCGCGTACATGCGCGCACGTGTGCGCGCGTGCGCGCGCGTGCGCGCGCGTGCGCGTGCGACTGCGCGAGCGCGTGCGTGTGAGCGAGTGCACGCGTGCACGCGTGCGTGTGCGTATGCGTGTGCGTATGCGTGCGCGTGCGGGTGCTTGTGCGTGTGCGTGGGCGTGGGCACGTCGCGTGCGTGTGCGTGTGTGTGCTTGTGTTGGAGTGCCTACGTGAGTAAGAACGTATATGTATGTGTACCTGTTCGTATGTTCGTATGTAAGTCTGTCTTTCTCTGTCTCTCTCTCGCTCTCGTTATCTCTCTGTTTATCTCTCTCTCTGTCTCTATCTCTCTTTCTCTCTCTCTCTCTCTTTCTCTTTCTCTATCTCTCTCTCTCTATCTCTCTCTCGCTCACTTTATATATCTCCCTTTCTCTCTCTCTCTCTCTCTGTTTCTCTCGCTCTCTCTTTCTCTCTCTCTCCCTTCCTTCATCTCTCTCTCTCTCTGTTTGTGTGTGCGTTTTCATGCTCATCGTATGTGAGCGTTTTTTATTCGGCGTTTCGACATTGGCATTGGGCGGAAGGGGGAGAGGGGAGTGGGGGGTCTGGCTCTGGACCTCTACTTAGTGAGCGCGACTGGTTGCAAGAGTGCTGCCTCTGGGGGAGACTCCACCCACTCGAAACAGGCGCCAAAAAAAAGCCAAGATCTACTCCATGGGGGGGGAAGGGGGGGTGCAAGGGCCCGCGCCGATCGGCAAAGCAATGAATAGAAAAACGATCACGATCGTCATTCTCAGAAGGGCGGCACTCTGTGCAGCCTGCTCCCGAGGCTGAGCCAATCCTGACAGGTTTTGGGCTCTGGTGGCGCCTCCTGGGACCGTCTGGGGGGCCCTGGGCGCCTCCTACGGGACATGTTGGTCCTTCTTCGATCGCTATTGGGCAGTCCGGCACCCTGCGAAATCGTCTCAGGAGCTCTCTGGGCCCCGCTGGGGCCCTCCAATGCCGTCTTCGGGGTGCCTTGGGCCGTCTTGACGTCTTGGAGCTGTCCCGGGCGCTTCTTAAGCCATCATGGGGCCTTGCTGGGCGGTCTTGGAGCGCGCTCTTGGAAACTTTTCGGGGCCTCTTGGGGCCCTCGTGGGGCATCGGAGGTGAGGGGGTGAGATCGAAGTGGAACGGAGAGCCCCCCTACAGGGAAATCGATTTCGGTTTCGTGTTCGTGCGTGCCGTGCGTGCGGGCGAGGCGAAGCTGCGTGGGCGGGCGAGAGAAAGTCTCCTGTGGCTGAGGCGCGGCCGGACCAAATGTTTGGCGACCAGGCGTCCGGGGCCAGGCGGTGTCCCGCCAGTGTCCCGCAGGTGTCCCCGTGCCCCGGCGAACGGTGCCGCGCAGTGTCCCGCTGGTATCCCGCTGCTGTCTCGATGATGATGATGATGAGGATGATGATGATGATGGTGGTGGTGATGATGATGAGGATGATGATGAGGATGATGATGAGGATGATGATGATGGTGGTGATGGTGGTGATGTTGATGATGATGAATATGATGATGTTGATGATGACGATGAAGATGAGGATGATGATGAGGATGATGCTGAGGATCATGATCATGATGATGATGTTGATGATGGTGATGGTGATGATGATGATGGTGGTGATGACAGTGATAATGGTGATGATGGTGATGGCTATGCTGGTGATGATGGTGATGATGGTAATGATGGTGATGATGGTGATGATGATGATGGTGATGATGGTGATGAGGATGATGATGATGTTGATGATAATGACGACGTCGATTTTGAGATCGATTATGATATCGACAATGAGATCGATAGTGAGGGATGCTGATGATGAGGATGATGATGAGGATGATGATGAGGATGATGATGATGATGGTGGTGATGATGATGATGTTGATGCTGACGATGATGACGATGATGATGACGATGATAATGATGATGATGATGAGGATGATGAGGATGGTGGTGATGATGATGATGATGCTGAGGATGATGATGATGAGGATGAAGATGATGGTGGTGGTGATGATGATGGTGATGATGGTGATGATGGTGATGACGGTGATGATAGTGATGATGGTGATGATGGTGATGATGGTGATGATGGTGATGATAGTGATGATGGTGATGATGGTGATGATGGTGCTGATGATGATAATGATGGTGATGATGGTGATGATGATGAGGATGATGATGATGGTGGTGATGACGATGTTGTTGATGATGATTAGGATGATGACGAAGATGATGATGAGGATGTTGATGATGGTGGTGATGATGATGACGATGATGATGATGGTAATGATGGTAATGATGATGATGGTGATGATGGTGATGATGGTGATGAGGGTGATGATGGTGAAGATGCTGATCATGGTGATGATGATGATGATGGTGATAATGATTGATGATGGTGCTGATGGTGATGATGAGGATTATGATGTTGCTGATGATGTTGATGATGATGATAATGATGATGGTGATGATGATGACGTCGATTGTGAGATCGATTGTGATATCGGTAGTGAGATCGACCGTGAGAGATGATGATGATGATGATGATGATGATGATGATGATGATGATAAGGATGATGGTGATGATGAGGATGATGATGATAATGGTGGTGATGGTGATGACGATGATGATGTTGATGATGATGATGATGAGGATGATGATGATGATAATGATGATGATGATGGTGATGATGATGATGATGATGGTGATGATGGTGATGATGGTGATGATAGTGATGATGGTGATGATGGTGATGATGGTGATGATGGTGATGATGGTGATGATGGTGATGATGATAATGATGGTGATGATGGTGATGATGACGATGATGGTGATGATGATGACGTCGATTGTGATATCGATAGTGAGATCGATAGTGAGATCGAGTTTGAGACCGAATGTGAGATCGATTGTGAGATCGATAGTCAGATCAATTGTGAGATCGATAGTGGTATCGATTGTGAGATCCATCGAATAAGATCGATATTGATTTCGATAGTGAAATCGATAGTGGGACGGAATGTGAGATCGATTGTGATATCGGTAGGGAGATCGATAGTGAGACCGAATGTGAGATCGATTCGGAGATCGATAGTGAGATCGATTGTGAGATCGATAGTCAGGTCGATAGTGAGATCGATCGAATGAGATCGATAATGAGATCGATAGTGAGATCGATCGAGTGCGACGTAGGTGCCTCCCCCCCTCACCTCCTTATCACCCGAAGGGTGGTCGTGTAGGTATTTGAAGTCTAGTGGAGCCTTCTTGAGGCTCCCTGAGCATCTGGGAGGATGTTGAAACATCTTAGCGTATTTGAAGCATCTTGAAACCATCTTGGACATCTTGGGGCCCTCCTTGGGCCCTCCTGGGTCATAGGTATTTGATTGGCCGTATTCGGCTCTTGAGGCTCTCTTCAGAGCTTCCTGAGGCCGTAATCGGAGCCTCATGGGCCATCCTGCCCGTGCGGTGCCGTCCCATAACCCAGGAATTTGATCCTCCCTATCGTTTTTGGGGCGCCGCAGCCCTCCTAATAGACAGTAGAATGAAGAAGACAGGACTGGAGCGACCAAAGGCAAACAAAAGACCACACAAAGAACACAAGACAGTTGTCCAACAGGGAACCTTCACAGCCTGCCGACCCAGCGGGAATGGTGGATTGTCCTCCTCGCTCCCCCCAACCTGCTTTGCAACTGTCTCTTCCCGGGGTCGCCATGTACTCTTCGATCAGCACCGGCGACTTCCTGCCCGGGATCGCGGCCGTGGAGATAATGATGTCGCATTCCTTTGCACGTGTTTTGAAACGAACCCCTCGAGCGCCTCCTCCTATTCCTCCTCCTCCTCCTCCTCTTCCTCCTCATCCACCTTCTCCTCCTCCTCCTCCTTCTCCTCCTCCCCCTTCTCCTCACCTCATGCCCCTTCTGTCTCTCCTCATCCTCCTTTCCCCCTCCTCCTCCTCCTCCTCCTCCTCCTCCTCCTCCTCCTCCTCCTCCTCCTCCTCCTCATGCTCCTGATGCCTCTCCTCTTCCTTCTCCTGACCTCCTCCTCCTCCTCCACCTCCACTCGCAGTCATTCTCGTCCTCCTCCGTCTCCTCCTCCTCCCCCTCCTTCATTCCATGTCCTTATCAAATAGCTAACTCCTCCCTGTCGTGTCTCCAGACGTGTCGGCAGGGCGGGCCAGGCGTTTCGCCTGAGATTCTCACCGCTCATGGCTCCGAAGCTTGGAATACGCGACAGTGTCACGGATTGGGGGTCGTTTGAAAATGTCGCTGGCGCCTTCGCGCCACGCACATTCGTCTGAAAAGTTTGCAACAGCTTCACTGATGGATGGGGGGGGGTAAAATGTGGCTCTCGCCTGGGCGGCGCGCACATTCGTCTTAAAATCTGCGCGACAATTCCACCGATGCAGAGGGGGCAGTTTTGAACATGTGGCTCCCGCCTAGGCGCACCGCACATTCGCCTTAAAAGTGTGCAACAGCTTCACGGATAGAGCGAAGTTCCTTTTCAATGCGTGGATCTCGCCTTCACGCCGGGCATATTCGCTGTAAAAGCTCGCGACGACTTCACGGATGGAGGGGGGGGGCTCTCAAAATGTGGTTCTCGCCGTAGCGCCGCGCACGTTCGTCTTAAATGTCTGCACCAGTTTCACGGATGAAGGGTGGATTAGTTCTCAAACATGGCTCTCGCGTTGACGTCGGGTGCGTTTGTCTTAAACGTTCCCAACAACTGCAATGATGGAAGGGGGCTGGGTTTCAAAATGGCGCTCTCTCCTCGGCGCATCGCGAACCGCTTCGGACATCTGCAACCGCTTCCCTGGCGGAAGAGGGGGGGGCAATTTCAGCATGCGGCCCTCGCCTTGGTGCCGCAACCGTTCGTCTTCAAAGGTCGCAGCAATGTCAGCGATGGGACGGGGGGGAACTGGAGGTCTCGCCGTAGCGCTGCGACCACGGCCTTCAAAGGCTTGCGCCAGCTTCATGGATGGAGGGCGGTTCCTTTCCGAAAGCTGGGCGCTCGCCCGAGCGCCGCGACCAGTCGTCTGCGCAACCTTGCAACAGCTTCGAGGATTGAGCAGTGGTCGTTCAGAACCCGAAGCTTCAACGCACGCGGCGCTGCACGGATCCACGGCGGCCCTGTTTCGAAGTGGAGCGGTCGCTGGCGGCGTCCTCGAAGTGGAGGGCCACCGGTGTGAGCTGCCAACCTGCACAGCAGTTGCACGGCTGGGGGGGGCGGCGCTTCTTCGAAAGGGGGATCTCGATGGCCGGTGTCTTGCTCGTTCCTGACCTCGTGCCGCTGAGATGCAAGGCGGTCTCCTGCCAAAACGAGGCCGCCGCGGAAATGGCAGGCCCAACTGAGCTCGTCGTTCAGGGGGGGGGCGCTTTTTGCAGGGAGGCAACAAACGCCTGAGCCTGCGCCTCCCCCTCCTCTTCCTCCTCCTCCGCCTCGGCCTCGGCCTCGGCCTCCGCCTCCTCCTCCTCCTCCTCCTCCTCTTCCTCTTCCTCCTCCCCCCCCCTCTCCCCTCCTCCTCCTCGTCTTTCTCCTCCTTGTAGGGGCGTATGAGGGGGGCTTGGGACGGGATGGGGTACCTGCAGGCGAGGGCGGCCTGCCAGAGGGAAGCCGCAGCATAGCAGAGCCGTGCGATGGGCCAACGGAAGATTGAGCCAGCTGGACCTCAATCGGGGATGGACAGACCTCCCTTTACCGACACCGATACGCCCTGGACCTCTGCCAGGGTGCGCTCTGACCAGGATCTCGAGGGGCATCCGGCGGTGGCGACGAGGGCCTCCCAGGAGGCCCGCGAAGGCGAAAGCGAGGGCAGCGCAGCGCCATGGGCATCGCTTCCTCCTCTGAACCTTCCTCCTCCTCCCCACCCCTTTCCCCGAACATTCGGGGATGGGACAGACCCCCTTTAGTAAAACGTGGTTTAGTGAAAACGACCTGAAGCCCAAACCTGGCGGGCGCAAGCCTGGAGAATAACGGCCGCGGCGCCCTCTCGAGAACCGAAAACGGACAATTCACTAATCGACGTGTCACTGTTGGGGGTCCTGTCCACCCCCGACTCAAGCTGCATCTACGCACAGAACGGCTGCTCACGGAGCCGTTGGAATCCAGTTGGCAACGTTCCCTGGGCGACTGCGGGCTGTCGGGGGCCACTAAGAGGAGGAGATGTTTGACGACCGCTCTTGATATACGTGCGCCAGCGCGCGACCCTGGAGTTTGCCTGCCAGCTTCCGTTGTCAAGCAGTGGCTCGACTGCTGGACTAGATGCCCGCACATCCGATCAGGGGTGTTCGAGGTGTATGTCAAGCAGCTTCGGAAAATGATGCAAAATATATGTTCACGGAATCTCGATGGTCCCATGACAAGTACAATCGCTTATGCGTTGCAAGCTGGATGGGGGGGGGGGAATTCCCCGGCTCCACAGACAGGCCCACCTTCGCATGAACCAGGAGTTCCACCTTTTGAGTGAACGACCGACGCAGAAAAGATCAACAGCATCTCTGAAGCGCAGCAGTTGCTCGACGACTTCGCCGTCGATGCCATATTGAAGTTCTGGAGGCAGGGTAGAGACCACTACTGTGGCGCCAGCCTTGAGAGCGGAACCCTCGTGCGCCAGCTGGAGCAGGTCAAGACGGGACGGCAATTGGCAGCCATCATGTTATGTGTTGCTGTGGAAGGGTGTCGGACAGGGCATAACCCTGAAAGGTGTCTTTCAGAATCCCCCCCAATAGGGTGTCACTAAATATTTGTCGGCCAGATCCCACCAGTAGGGGACAACTAAACATGTGTTTCCGCGGCCCCTGCCGCGCAGCACCGACGACGACAGCTACGACTACGATTGCGACTACGACTGTGACGAGGAGGAGGAGGAGAAGGAGGAGAAGGATGATGATGATGATGATGAGGAGGAGGAGGAGGAGGAGGAGGATGAGGAGGACGAGGAGGAGGAGGAGGAGGAGGAGAAGGAGAAGGAGGAGGAGGAGGAGGAGGAGGAGGAGGACGAGGAGGACGAGGAGGAGGAGAAGTGGGAGGAGGAGGAGGAGGTTCTAGGACCAGTCCGATTCACCGCCGAGAAAAGAAGCGGGAACCAAAACTATCGACCTATAGCGGTTAGGAGGAAGGAGTTAGCACTTGTTGAGGACGATCGGTGCCCCGAATGTCGACTGGCTTCGGAGACCCATGCACCAACACTTGACCTGTAGTAAGAAGGAGGGCCACCCAGCGTACGAGCAGCCCGGCAACCTTTTGCCTGCGGCAAATGCACAAGGAGAGTCTGGGGCATGCTCTTGGAATCGAATGATCATTCCTGCTGGCTGCCCTCCTGCTTCAAAACCTTCCGTTCAACAGGCCTGGTGCTCGGCTAACATGATCGGGAGGGGGTCCTGGACTCTGGCGCCATGGGGGGGAGGATCTTTCGAGGAGCCTCCTGTCCTGTTGTTTGGGAATGCTTCTGACGGCCCCGGTGGTTTCGATCATGGGTTAAGGCGTGTCGGAGTCGGTCTGCGCACGAACATGCAAGAGGAGCCTCTTGTCACCGGGCCCGCTAGCATGGGCCCGCTAGTGTGTATAGGAGAGGCGATATGTCGTGCGTGGAGAGCTCTTCGGGCCTCTGGCAGCGATCAAGTCTTCCAGAAGGGGCCTGATTGCTGTGTCTGATAGCGGCGAGGCCGTCAGAAGTTGGAACGCCAGTGTGTTCGAGGATCCGTGGAGAACAGGCTGATGTGGAAAACGATTGGAGAACAGCTGACTCGTCGGCCTCCTCGGGCCATATCCAGATAGTGAAGGTATCCGCCCACATCGAGGCCGGAGACTTCATTGGGCGGGGACTGCCAGGATGGTGGAGTTCAGGATCTGTGGCTGCAGATCCGATCGCAGGCGAAGCGGCTCGCTTGTGCAAGCTCCCAGAGGTCGAGGCGTGTGCCGTCAGGGATGCGGCGGCCAGGGCTACTCTGGTGCGGAAGCGTCTGACGCGGTCGACGCTGGAAAGCATGGTTACTCACCAGGCTTTGATCGAGGCTGAAAAGCGGCTCGTTTCCCAGGCTGCTGATGCTGATGCTGTCCCGCCTCTCCCCTCGCCCGTTTCCCCCCCCCGTCGGCGGTGGCCCACGTTTCTTCTGCCCACGTGGTCGACGCCACTCGAGGCGGGTGCGCCCAGGTGTGCCGCTCTTCGGCGGACCGCCGCACGTGGACGGCTTGGCTCGGGGCGCCCTGCACCGCCATCGAGGTTGCCGCGGAGGGGGGGGGGGCGTTAATTTCGGCCGCCCAGGGGAGCTAGGGTGCACAGGTGGGGTGGGTGGGTGCATCAGTCGCACAGTCTGATGTGGCTGTTCGGGGCTCTCAATTAAGGAGTTTGGTCAAGCCGCGTGAGCCAACTCGTAGCACTGCCAACAAGCGTGACGACTTGAGGCGTTTCAGCAGAGGCCTTAGGCCAACGGCTCTGTCCAAGTGAGGCAGTGTTCTGACTACGCCAAATTCCCGAATGCCAGGATTCCTCTGTTCTGAGCCACATACCCTGCTCCTCCTCCTCCTCCTCCTCCTCCTCCTCCTCCTCCTCCACCTCCTCCTCCTCCTCCTGCTCCTCCTCCATGTCCTCCTCCTCCTACTCCTCCTCCTGCTCCTCCTCCTCCTCCTGCTCCTTCTCCTCCTCCTCCTCCTTCTCCTGTTCCTCCTCCTCCTCCTCCTCCTTGTCCTCCTCCTCCTCCGCCTCCTCCTCTCTCCTCCCCATCCCCCGCCTCCTCCTCTCCTCCTCCTCCTCCTCCTCCTCCTCCTTCGCCTCCTCCTCCCTCCTCTCCTCCTCCTCCTCCTCCTCCTCCCGCCTCCTCCTCCTCCTCCTCCTCCTCCTCCTCCTCCTCCTCCTCCTCCTCGCCTCCTCCTCCTCCTCCTCCTCCTCCTCCTCCTCCTCCTCCTCCTCCTCCTCCTCCTCCTCCCCCTCTTCCTCTTTCTCAACCCCCTCCTTCCCCTCCTTCTCATCCCCCTGCCCTCCTCCTCCCCATCCTGGGCCTTGACTTCCCGCTGCCGAGTCACGACAACGCCGTTGCCCCAGACGCGCGGCGGCTCTACTTCTTCAAGCCGAATGAGAATCGTTTGACCAGCGTTCATCCCCACTGGGGCCCAACTGGCCGACGTACCTCCTCAGGTGGGGATCGGTGTGCTGCTTCCTTCAGGTCGCCACGGGGCTCGCTTGCACCTGGAAGCTCCACCCGAGGGCGTGGGCCCGGTGGGGCTGAGATACCCTGGCACGGTGGGGATGGGCATCGGTCGGACGATCCTGGCTCCCAGACCTCTTGGACCCCTCCCTTCAAGGCCGCTTTTCCGTCATGCATCCTTTCGGGAGCGGCAAAGAGGGGGGTGTCCAAGAGGGGGGGGGTGCAAATCATGACCAGCGGCACGTGCGCGGCCCAGCGGGGGGGCCAGGGACGTAATGAAATAAGAAGAGGGGCCATGAAATCTGGGGAATTTCATGCCCCCCGCCATGATATCCCCCCCCTAGTCATCACCCCCCTCATTGCCGCCCCCGATTTTCCGTCATGCATCCTTTCCTGATGGCCACGGTCGGAACCCGAAACCCGGCCCCAGGGCCATAACAGCCGTCTCGTTGTTATCCGCGCCGCCAGCTGCCGGGGGCAGCATGCGCCGCCCGCGCTCTGGAGAGCGGCGGCAAGCCAGGCAAGGAGACACGAGGCTGCGACGCATCCTTGGCGTGCTTGTGGAAGGTATCCTTCTGCGCCTGCTGGAACTCGGGACTGGACTCCTGGCTGGGGGCTCTCCTTGTCCTCCGTGATCTCCTCATCCTCCTTCTACTGCTTTCCCCCCCCTCATCGTCCCCCCCCTCTCCTCCAGAATCAATGTTCAAGGGTCGAGTTTCTGACGTGTTGTCCATTTCTGCACCTCTGGGGGCCTCCGGAGGCATCCAGGGACCCATGAAGGCATCTGGGGACCTTGGGGGACTTCTTGGGACCTCCTGGGACCTCCAACGACATCCTCCCCGTCTACCTCTCACCATTCCCCTCCACAATTACTCAATATGAATACTACTCTCCTCTCTCCCCTGAGTCTGTGGCGGAATCTGTCTCGGAGTGTTCGGCCCCCCCTCGCGTATTGCTTTGTTCCACACAGGATGTCGGCGAGTTCGGTTTTCGCTTGCGTTTTTGTTCGAAATGCTGTTCTCGCTGAGGCGCTGGCTTCATTTTCGGGCTTCCGCTCGCTCCGAATCGTGCTCCCGCTGCAGCGATGGCTTCATTTCCGCGCTTCCGCTCGCTCCGAATCGTGCTCCCGCTGCAGCGCTGGCCTCATTTCCGCGCTTCCGCTCGTTCCGAATCGTGCTCCAGCTGCAGCGCTGGCGTCATTATTTCCAGCGCCATGCCACGGCATTGTTTTCTGTCCTTCATAGGCCCCGAAATTTAGAAAATTGCCCCTCGAATAGACAAACCATCGGGAGTGACTACACATTCGGTGTCGATTCGTTGATTTATGGGGCCGCAGAAGCACCACCCCCCACTTTGGGGCGTCGCCACACTATGCTATGTCAAGCTACGCATCCTCATTTCCGCGCTTCCGCGCTTGGGTGTTTCCCAACTACTGCTCTCACTGAAGCGCTAGCCTCATTTTCGGGCTACCGCTCGTTCCGAATCTTGCTCCCGCTGCAGCGCTGGCCTCATTTCCGCGATTCCGCTCGTTCCGAATCGTGCTCCCGCTGCAACGCTGGCGTCATTATTTCAAGTGCCATGCCCCGGCATGGTTTTCGGTCCTTCCAAAAAGGCCCCCGAATCTAGAAGATGGACCCGCGAGGGAACCATCGGAAGTGACTCCACATTCGGTTTCGATTCGTTGAGTTTTGGGGCCGCAGAAGCCCCCCCACCTTGGGGCGTCGCCACGCCATGCTATGTCATGCTACACGTTGATCTTCGACACCATGTATGTCATGTAATGTTATGCCATGCTACGACATCCGATTGTGCGAATAGCGAGGAGATCTACGCCATGGTAAGGGATGGGAGGGAGGGGTAAGACGTCAGACATGACGCGAGCGCACCTAGCTTGCCTTCTACCCCACCCCCTCCTCCGCATCCTTCTCCACCTCCTCTGTAACCACCTTTTTGGGAAAAACAAAAGGTACCGACACCGATACGCCCTGGACCTCTGCCAGGGTGCGCTCTGACCAGGATCTCGAGGGGCATCCGGCGGTGGCGACGAGGGCCTCCCAGGAGGCCCGCGAAGGCGAAAGCGAGGGCAGCGCAGCGCCATGGGCATCGCTTCCTCCTCTGAACCTTCCTCCTCCTCCCCACCCCTTTCCCTGAACATTCGGGGAATGGACAGACCCCCCTTTAGTAAAACGTGGCTTAGTGAAAACGACCCGAGGCCCAAACCTGGCGGGCGCAGGCCTGGAAAATGACGGCCACGGCGCCTTCTCGAGAACCGACAACGGACAGTTCACTAATCGACGTGTCACTGTTGGGGGCTCTGTCCACCCCCGAAACGTCTCCGAAGGCCTCGGCAGGCCCACCGAAAGAAGGAAGGGCACCGCCCGCCCGTGCGCGGGGGCCGTCCGGCGGAGTTCGCCCCGGGGGGGGCCGGCTCGGGAGCGGGGCGGCAGGATGCGCCGTGGCGTGCCAGGGCCCTCGGGATCTATGGGGCCCACAGGGACATGCTAATACCATGTGTCCTCCTTGGAGTGCGCGCGTCCGACCCGAACATACATAGGGGAAAGCAAACCTACCTCGCTTTTGACCACCCTCGCTTCCAAGAGATACCAGACGATGCCAAATGGCAGCCTGTACTGGTCAGGCCGCTTGACGAGGAGGCGCGTGGTATGGTTTGGTTTTGCCTGGAAGCGAAAGCGGGGTAGGTAATTCACGCTCTGCCATCTTGTAGTATATCGTTTCCCGAGCGGTGTGGCCAGAAAGCGCCCGCCACGACGCATGTACTATTAGATTTCTCGGTGCGCGCGTCGCCCCTGAGGGGGCGACGCACACCTAGTATAAGTGCGTTGGGGTGACGCCGAATCTACCCCGACCCCCTCGGGTCGAGCCACGACAAAGATCACGAGGGAGGCTTTTGCGCCATCTGGGGCCTCTGGGGGCCCTCTGCCGGGCCTCGGGGCCGTCCACAAAAAAACGGCTCGGGATGAACAACGGGTCCCGGGGAATGGGTGGAGACCTCTGAGAGCCGACGTCACGGAAAGATCCCTGAAGTCGAGGGGGCCTGGGTCTACAAAGCTACCAACCAATGGGCCAGGTCCGTCTTTCGGGGGCGGCCAAGAGGGGGGTCTCCAAGAGGGGCGCGCAGATCATGGCCGGCGGTATGTGCGCGGCCCGGGGGGGGGGGGGCAGGGACGCATTGAAACAAGAAGAGGAGCCGCAAGATCTGGGGGGAGATATCATGGCCCTCGCCATGATATGCCCCCCCCCCAGGGGGGGGCAGAGACGCATTGAGATAAGAAGAGGAGCCGTAAGATCTGGGGAGCTAGCATGGCCCTCGCCATGATATCCCCCCCCCTGGTCATCAACCCCCCCCCTCTCTGCCGCGCCCCCCAGGCCTGGGCCCTGGAGCAGTGCCTACGCCCTCCTCTTCCTCGTCCTCCTCCTCCTCCTCCTCCTCCTCCTCCTCCTCCTCCTCCTCCTCCTCCTCCTCCTCCTCCCCCTCGTCCTCCTCGTCCTCTCGTCCTCTTTCCTCCTCCTCCTCCTCCTCCTCCCTCCTCCTCCTCCTCCCTCCTCCTCATCCTTCTTCTCCTCCTCCTCCTCCTCCTCCTCCTCCTCCTCCTCCTCCTCCTCCTCCTCCTCCCTCCTCCTCCTCCTCCTCCTCCTCCTCCTCCTCCTCCTCCTCCGCGTCTCGGCCGCACGTAGGAGTGGCCCTAGGCGAGGGTGCCCTGTGGCGCACGGCCTCAGGGGCTCCCTTGGAGGCCCAACGTGAGCGCGCAAGCCAGTGCTGCCGCGCCACAGCAGCGATCGGCGGGACGCTCTAGCGAAGGTTATGTTGCATCCTCGGGGAACCTTGTCTGTCCCGTCGCGGACCTATCTGCGTCGAATCCGTGTCGAATCCATGTCGGCCTCGTCGGATCCGTGTCGAATCCGTGTCGAAACCGCGTCGAATACATACCAAATCCGTGTCGAGGCTGCAACGAGCCCGCGTCGGGCACAAGAAAAGACACCAATTTTGGGGACAGGCGAGGTCCCCCGAAGATGCAACGTAACGAAGGGCCACTCTAGCCTGAGGTCGGGCACGTCCCCCAACAGGGGGAGTTTGGACGAAGGATAAGAAATACTTCAAGCGTACTCCCAAATGGCCAAAATTGATCCAACAATCGTCCCAATACTAGCTTTTGTTTATCATTTTTGAATATCCCTCCCGTAGAGGGACAGGCCCGACTTAACTCTAGCCAAAGGCCACTCCAGCGAAGGGCCACTCCCACGTAGTCAATCCGCAGGGTCGAGAGCGCCTCGGGGCCTACACGGGTGAGCAAGTCCGGGACGGCGCGGGGTCTGAGGACTGCAGGAGGCTCGGGCGCCGACTTTAGGGGGGAGGGGCCCGCCCAAAGCTCCGACGGCATGAGTTGTTCAGTCCCTGCGTTTTCGTCATTCGCCATCGATCTCAGCCCCTGGACCATCAGAAACAAGTCCTGGACGAAAGACTACCCCCGGGGAAGCGGTCGGGAACCTCTGGGGCCGCGCATTGCAGAAATCACATCGTCGGGTGTTCGGGCACGATTCGAAACGCCTCCCCGCCCCCGGGGACTAAGAGGTCCTTGGCGTAGCCGCCAGCACCAGCGCCGTCCTCCTTGAAGTCTACCTTGATCCACTTGCCGCCCATCGACGTGACCTCTGCTCTTTTCGCGCGAAGCTTGGTTACTGTCCCCGTTGCCAAGCCTACACAGGGACTCGCACCACGCCGGCCTCGGCAGCTCGAGACCATGAGCCAGGACTTGCTGGCAAGGAAATGGCGCAGATGCTGTCACAGAGGCCTGCGCCAGCTTCTGGAAAATCCTGCCCTGGCGGCGAGAAGACCCCAGTACACAGCTTTGTCGATTCTCACTGTCGGCAACAATCGTAATCCGAAGCACGGGTACAAAACATGAAAGCGAACGGCCATGGAAGCAGGCGTTCCAACAAACCAAGCAGTAACCTAGCAGACGTTCTCAAGTTCGCCTGCAGGGCAGCAGCCTGGCACCATAGCCTCGTCCGAAAGCAGAAATACATGCAAACATACAATCAGAGTTTGAACCAACTGAAGCACGAGATAAGCAAGAGTAAGCATGGTGGCACAAACAAGCGGGACCCTATTCAAATTGGCACCTTACCCGTCCTCACCCTCATCGTCCTCCCTCCTCCCCCTCACCTCCTGTTCCACAAGCCTCTCCTCCTCCTCACGGGGGATAGTAGGAGGAGGAGGAGGAGGACGAGGAGGAGGAGGAGGAGGAGGAATGGGGAAGAGAAGGAGGCAGCGGACGGAGGAGGAAGCGGAGGATAGGGACAAGGATGAAACATGTTAAAAAGAGAAGAAGGATCAGGGAAAGAGGAAGAGAAGGACGACGACGACAAAGCCTGAATAAAGACGAGAAGGCGGAGCAGCAGAACTTAGCCTGGCGAAACACCCAACCATATGCAATTGTGAGTCCTACGTTTTGGGCACTGCTTTCGGAAGAGCTCCCTATGGGGCCACGACACGCGTGAGGGGTGTGCCGTAATGGGTGGTGGAGACGCGTGCGGCCGCGGCCCCTGGGGCATTCGGTGGAGCCCCTACGGGGCCACGAACCGCTGTACTGGTCGGGAGAGACGCATGCGGCCGTGGCCACTGGGGCCTGCGGTAGAGCTCCCTATGAGGACCACGAACCGCTTTACTGGGCAGGGGAGACGCATGCGGCCGCGGCCACTGGGGCCTTCGGTGGAGCTCCCTATGAGGGCCACGAAGCGCTGTACTGGGCGTGGGGGGGGCTCATGCTGACTGCGGCCACTGGGGTCCGGTGGTGCTCCCTATGGGGCCACTGTACTGGGGTGGGGGGAGCGAATGCGGCTGCGGCCAGCCCCTGGGGCCTTCGGTGGAGCTCCGTATGGGACCACGAAGCAATGTACGGAGCGGGGGGGACGCATGCGGACTGCGACCGACACTGGAGCGTTCGCTGGAGCTCCCTGTGGGGCCACGACCCGTCAGAGGGTTCTGCTGTAATGAATGGGGGAGACGCACGTGGACCCTCCCGTTGGGGCCTTCGGTGGAGCTCCCTGTGGGGCGCATGTGGACCCTCCCACTCGGGCATTCGATGGAGATCCCTATGGGGGCACGAAGCGTGTGAAGAGCGTGCCGAAACAGTGACATGCGGAGGGTAAAGCCAGGGATGGGATGGGAGGGGAGGAAGAGGAAGAGGAAAGAGGAGGAAGAAGAGGAGGAGGAGGAGGAGGAGGAGGAGAAGGAGGAGGAGAAGAAGCAAGAGGAGGAGGAGGGAGAGGAGGAGAATGAGGATGATGCGAGCACTCTGCAAAACGAGGATCCAACAGCACAGAATAACGGTTAGGAAAAACATCTGGACAAGGAGGAGGAAGAGAAGCAGGGGGAGCAGGAGGAGGGGAAGGAGGAACGAGAAGAGGAGGATGGGACGGGAGCAAAGAGAGAAGGATAACGGGAGGAAGAGGAGGGAGAGGGGGAAGGCCGGACTGGGAGCAGGCGAAGGGGGGAGCAGGAAAAGGAGGAGGAGTAGGAGGAGGAGGAGAAGCAGGAGGCGCGGGAGAGGCGGAGCAGCCAGCTCCTCGTCCCCCCAAAGCGGCGCTCACTCAAGCCTACTGCGGCGGCCAGACCCTCAGGGAGGCCGGGCCCACGCCTGCAACGACGGTCCAGCTCCCGTGCCCCCCATCGGGGGTGCCAGAGGGGCAGCTACACTGACACTGGGGCAGTGCGTCCCCCTCCCCCCCTCCGCTGCGGCTGCAGTCTGGCCCCCCTGGCCCCTCCTCGGCGGACGCATCGCACGAGACGAGGAATGAGGTCGGCCGTCCCAGGGCTCCGATCTGCAGACCTCTACGACCTGTGAATCGGCCCTCCACGCACTCGCCGCGTCACCCGGCGCCGTCCCGCACGCGAGCGGGCTCCTCCCCGCCCTCGCAGCCCTGCCCGTCGGCGCCAGGCCGCAGGGCTCGGCGGGCAGCATCGCCGGCCCGAGCTCGTGGCCCCGCGCGCGTCGCAGACCACCGCGTGGCCCAGCCTCGGGAACGCCTGGCTGTCGATGGCCACCTCCGCCGCTGCGGGCCGGCCGCGGCGGGAGCCCGTCCTGAGCACCTCCGCCGTCCTGGCCCGGAAGCCGCACTGGCCGCCGCCGTGCTCCAGCGCCGCCCGCGCGCCCAACGGCTGCGGTATAGGCGGCGCCGCGGCTCGGGGTCGGGCCGTCCTCCGAGCGCCCCTCTGCACGTCGCCGGGCCGGCCGCGCCGCGCTCCTCGTCGCGCCGCGCGCGATCCCCCGGGCAGCCGACCGTTTTGCACCCAGGCGGTGCCGCTCGTCCGCTGCAGCTCGGGCTGCTGCTGCCCGGGGCCGCTGCTGTCGGCTCCGCGTTCCGGCGTCGGCCCGCGGCGCGCGCGGCACGCGCTGCACGCTCCATGCTGGAGTGGCAGGCCCGCGCGGCGCTCCGTTGGAGGCCTCTTAGGTGGAGTCCGAGTAGATGGGGTCGGGGGATCGCGCCGCATCGCCAATGCATCGCCGATGCATCGGCGATGCGATGCGTCGGCGACGTCGGCGTGGAGAAAATCGGGCACCACATCGAGCCGCATCGCTGATGCATCGCCGGTGCATCGGCGATACGGCGCGATCCTCCGACCCCATCTGCTGAGACCCCATCTGGGAGGCCTAGAGTCGAGCTTGATGGGAGAGGACACGCGAGAGGACACACGACCCTTCCGAGGGCCGCATTGCCATAGGACTATAGAAGACATGGGTCACGAAGCACAGGACACCAGGGTACTCCAGATTTCGTAATAAAGGGAGGGGGGTCTCATTTCGGGGGGGGTCTCTTCCAGGCTATCTTGGAGGGCCTGGGGGGTCTGGGGACGATGTTTTGGAGGGTTCTCCCACGGGGGAGGTCTGAAATGGCTTGTCTTGGAGGGTTCAGACCCCCTCCCTTTTATTACGAAATCTGGAGTACCCTTGATTTGGCAGGGTCGACCTACTAAGCAAACTCGACTGCAGGTTTTTGCCCTCCTGGCCTCTGTTTTCCAGCCACGAGGCGTTGCGATTTGGGCGCTCGTGCGCGCCTCCGCCCGCCCTCCTCGCAGGGCGCCCGATGGCGTTGCGGAGGCACGGCAGGCCCTTGCCGCCCTCGCCCTTGTGCACGAGAGCCCTGCGCGCACCTCTGCCTCTGGACGCGCCGGGGGACCTCCAAGGCCCGCGGGAAGCCTCAGAGGAGCGCGACCCGTGGCTAAAGGGGCCCTGGGACACACAAACAAACAGGCACGAATAGCAGGACTCACCATAGTTTTTCATCTTTTCTGGGTTTTTGTCTTCCCCCCCACACTTCCCATGTTCTCCCATACTTTCTCGGGAATCGACGATTCACTGTGTCTGTGTGTTCTTCCCCTCCTGGGTGGCACCCGTCCCTCCTGCTTAGCCAGGAGGACACGATGCCGGGGACCAGCTGCCGCGGCTGCCGCCGACAGCCCCCGCCGCCTGGGAACGAGCCTGCCGAGGAGGTCTCCAGCGCGTCGATCGGGTCGGGCAAAAGGGGGGGATAGCAAAGGGGGGGTTTGAGAATCAGCTCACGTAGCTGATTCTCCCGGCGCCTCCCGGCGCCGGAGGCGGCCATGCATCGGGGAATGGGCCCCTCGGTGGGGCCGAAACCAGCTGCGTGCAGCAAATTTCGTAACCCCCCCTTTCCCAATCCCCCCCTTTCGCCGACAGCCCCCGCCGCCTGGGAACGAGCCTGGTCGCGGGCGCGGAGGAGGAGGGGGAGGGGGAGGGGGCGGGGGAGGGGGAGGCGGGGGAGGAGAAAGAGGGGAGGGGAAGAGAGGAGGAGGAGGAGGAGGAGGGAGGGAGAGGAGGAGGAGGAGGAGAGAGGGAGGAGAGGTCTCCAGCGCGTCGTCGAGCATCGCGGACGGAGCGAGCCCGAGCCGAGCGCCGTCTCCTCCTTTTGAGGCCCCCTTTTTCGTGCGCCCTGCGAAGCTCGCCTCACGTGGGCGCCGAGAGCTCGCGCTGCGCCGCCCCCCCCCACGAGGCACGCGTGCCCCTGGGCCACACGCACTCCACACGCCTCCGTGCCACTCGCGGCCTCCTCCTCCTCCTCCTCCTCCTCCTCCTCCTCCTCCCCCTCCTCCTCCTCCTCCTCCTCCTCCTCCTCCTCCGCCTCCCCCCTCCCCCTCCTCCCCCTCCTCCTCCTCCTCCTCCCTCCTCCTCCTCTCCCCTCCTCCTCCTCCCTCTCCTCCTCCTCCTCCTCCTCCTCCTCCTCCTCCTCCTCCTCCTCCTCCTCCTCCTCCTCCTCCTCCCCCTCCTCCCTTTCGTCACTCGCGGCCAAAAAACCCTCCGCCGTACCCTGGACGCCCGGCGCACGGCCGTCGGTCATCGTGCTCCCGGCGGTGCCCATCGTGCCCCTTGTCCACCCGCGATCTGCTCCAGCGCCGTCCGCCGTGGCCCGCATGGCCCGCTGGCCGAAGGGCTTCGCGCGCACCTCCCGGAGCTGTGACCGAAGCATGTTACCAGCCTGGACCATATCCCTATCCCTATGCTGGGCATCCCCTCATCACGATGCCAATCTTAGGGATTCCCTTATCTTTTGAGGGCGAATCCCTAAGACTGTCACCGCCTTTTGGCGTGTCAACCTTAGGGATAGGGATAAGTTCGAGGCTGGCAAGCATGGCCAAAAGACCGCGGGCCGAGGCCGGGAGCCCCCTCGCCGAGGGCCCAAGGCCCCAGTGGAGAGGGCCTCGAGATCAGAAGCACTCCAAGAGCAAGGGCCCGGGCACGAAGGGCCATAATGGAGGTCCAAAAATCCACTCCCAGAAGAACCACCCTGACACGCGAAATCGTTTAGTAAACGCGCCCAGAGAAGAAATCGAGCGGGGAAGGGCTGTTCAGTAAACGCCCAGGGTCGTTCAGTACGTAAACGCCAGTTGTCCGGTCCGGGTGGCTTTCCCTCCCTTGAAATAAGGGTACCCCTCCGCGGCTACATGGCGGCTCTCAACCCTCGTGCCAGCTGTGTCCGACGACGCCGCGGCCGACCCTGCGCGGTGTCCAGCACCCCTCGGAGGGCGACGGGCGGGAGCGCGCGCCAAACCACGACCAAACCTTGGCGAGACGACTCCAATCCTGGGCCCTGGCGGAGGTGGTCCCCTCCCAGGACCGCAGGGCCAGGTGCGCACCTGGTCCCGCGGCCCCGGGAAGGGACCGAGCGGCCCTGCGTACCCCCACGCACCCGGTGCGGCCGCTCGGCCGCCGCCAGCGGCTCGTCCGAACCACGCGCCAGCGCTCTGTGGCCAACTCCTGCAGCCTGCCCCTCGGCCGGAGCGCCCGCCGAGCATCCAGCGAGGCCTTCACCGCGGACGCGTCGTACTTCCTGAGCGGGGCGGCCAGGCGCAAGGTGGGCAGGCCGCCTCTGCCCGCGTACAGATGGGCCTCCCCAGGGCCGAGGTGAAGACGCAGCCTAGCTCCTCCTCCGCGCGACTCCCATGAGGCTGGCAAAGACCACTGGCAGAGCCTCCTGGCCTATCTCGGACTCGTGAAGCTCAACTCGGCGCATCACCTTTCCCAATCCACCCGTGGCCCCCTGCCAGGTCCGATCGGCCGAACCTCGGGGTGTTCCTTCGGAGCGTGTACCACCGTGACCGTGTCATTGCGGTCTGTATTGTGTGGGATGATAGCGAGAGGGCGATGGTCTTTGATCGTGCTCGTGCCGTCGGGTGTAGCAACACACGACCTGGTGGGCCAACGAACTTGGGACAAACCAAGTATCCAGCAGCGTCCCGTCGGCCCTGTTGCCGAAGATGGCCTCCGACGTGCGGATCACTGCCGCATGGAGGTGCTCCAGGCCTTTTCCTCCTCCTCCTTCCTCCCCCTCCTCCTCCTCCTCCTCCTCCTCCTCCTCCTCCTCCTCACCACCACCACCACCACCACCACCACCACCACCACCACCACCACGACCACCACCACCACCACCACCACCAACCCCGTCGGGGCACGTCGAAATGAAGCCCCAGCAGACACGGCCGTCGCAGGCGAGCGACCCCGCGCGCAGAGATGTGTGCATCCTGCTCCCGCTGGTCGTGCCCTCGCTGCCGTGCAGAGAGAGAGAGAGAGAGAGAGACGCTGCACACGAGAATTGTTCGTGCCAGCCAGCACTTCCAACTTCGTGCCTGCCAGCCCACACCTGGCATCAACACACTCGCTCTCTTAGCCATGCAGGGCCCGCCGCTGCAGCCGCCCCGCCCCGGCGGCGTTGCCGAGCGAGCTGCAGCCGCCAGTTCGCCGCTCGGCACCGGTCCTCCTGCATGCGGCAAGCAGCGTTCACCACCACGTGCACCTCCTGCCCGAGAATCATATGTGTTGCCTGCGCCTCGGTGCCCTGAAAAGAAATCGATGGAATGGCTCAGTGTGGCACCGTTGGGCGTCATGGCGCGATGGCCAAGGTCGTGCTACCCCTGTTTGAGCTTCTGATGAGTGGAGGCATTAGTATTCGCGGCGACTGCTGCGGCTCGATTTGCTGCATCATCCCCTACCAGACCTGGGCATTGCATTCAGACCATGACTACCCAGGTCTCCGAAGCATACCATCCATGGAAGCGGAGGGGCTCGCAAGCTCGTGCCCTGACAGGCCTGCACTCCACGAGGCGGGCCTCGGGGTTCGGGCGGACTGCAAGCGGCAGTCGCTGCCACGACTCTTCCGAGCGTGGCGACTGTGCTGGGCACCTCGGGGGCCTGTCCGAGGGCTGCGACCCTGGCCCAGCGCGCGCCGAGGGCCACTGCGCCTTCCTTCTCGCTGCCCTGCTGGAGCGCGCTGGCGCGCAGAGCGGGGAGGTCCCGCTCGACGTCGGCCCCATCCCGCTGCGAGCGTGCCAGCTTCACGCTCGCGGACTGGAGCTGCTCACTGCACGTCCCTATTTCACTATGGAACCTGATCGATAGCCCCCATAAGTGCGCTGCAGCCGACAGGTGGCCGCGTTCGTGGGAGGAGGAGGAGGAGGTGGAGGAGAAGGCGGAGGGGGAGGAGGAGGAGGAAATGGAGGAGGAGGAGGAGGAAATGGAGGAGGAGGAGGAGGAGGAAATGGAGGAAGCTGAGCAGAAGAAGAAGGGAAGGTACCTGGTCGCTCACGTCGCGCACGTCCCAGGCTCGCACGACGGAGCCCAGCGCACTGGAGGTGCCCATGGAAGCGAGCCCCGCCACGCCGATGCCTAGCACCATAGTGTGGCCTTATCGGGAGAGGAGGAGGAGGAGGAGGAGGAGGAGGAGGAGGAGGAGGAGGAGGAGGAGGAAGAGAAGGAGGAGGAGGCGGAGGAGCAGGAGGGGGGGGGTGGAGGAGGGGGGGATGACATCCCCAGGTCTTGGCGGTCGGGAGGATCGAGGAGGTGGAGGAGGTGGAATGAGGAACAATAGAAAAAGGAGGAGGATGGGGAGGAGGACGAGGGGGAAGAAGTGGTGGAGGGAGGTCCCCAGGTCTCGGCGATCGGGTGGATCGAGGAGGACGACGACGACGAGGAAGAGGTTTGGTTAAACATCCACTGCATGGCTGTGTGGCCTCGCCTGGCTGCAAACGAAAACTGCACGCATCGCATGGAGAACCGTGTGAGATTGAAAGGCCAAGACCCGAAAGCACCAACCTCTAGCTAGGACACGAAACCAGCTCGAGGTACAGGTGGGCCTGCCACATGGGGCGTGACCAGAGGGGCAACAAAGAAAGTGAAGCCCACCCAACGACCGCGCGGCCAAAGGGTAGGCGTGCGCCAACGAAAACCAGGCAAACAAACAACGAATCGAATCCCCCTCGCCAGGGGGAAGAGGCGCTGCGACGAGAGGACCCACGTCCTCCTCCTTCTCACGGAGCGACTCCGCCACCAGCCTCAGAGCCTGCCTGGAGCTCGGGCCCGAGCTCGTGGCCGCCCAAACATCGGGGACGGTGGTGGGAGCACCTCCCGTAGGCGGAGTGCACCTCCCACCCGAAGCGGAAGCAGCGGACGCGGCGGCAAGGGTGGGGGGGGGGGCACCTCCCAAGGGTCCCGTGACACGCCCGCCCCGAGGAGCAGCAGCGGACGAGGCAGCAGCGATGGGGGGGCGCCTCCCGCAGGTACGGTGCCTCGCCCATGCTGTACAGCACCCGCGGGCGCCACGGGACTGGCTCGACGGTCAGGTTGTTCTTTTTTCTGGGGTGCCGGCCCTGATTTCAAATTCAATGAAAGCAGGCGCCCAGGTCGCCTTAGGCGCGGGCTGGCCACGCACCTTCGCTAAACGAATCCTCGAACGCTGGCACAGGAGTGACACTTCAGGAACGCTGCGATGACACAGCCATCCGAAGCCAAACAGGGCACTGCTTCGTGATTAAGTGCCCCAGGAGAGGGACCATCGAGCTTGGAGGAGTCCGAGCAGACGCTTCCAGCAGGAGCAAGGTCCCCCCCTCCCCTTACGCGCAACCGAGAACGCTTAACAACGCCAAAAACCTACACGGTGCCTCAAGGCCACGTGAGCCCAAGCATGAGGAGGTCCCAGAGGTTCCTTGGGGACCGCGGGGGGTGTAACCGAGGGGCAATCGGTCAAGTTCAGACGGGGCCACAACGGAAGCATATTGGCGGCCAGAACGCTTACCGACCTGGGCACTTTCATCCTGAAGGCAAGTTGTTGCAACTCGTCCTCTGAAGCACGGGGGTGAGCAACAGCTCCGAGCTTCGCGGCCTTGTGAGCCTCGTCGCGTCCCGTGCACAGCCAGCGCTCTCTAGCAGAGATGCCCGATGCCTGCAGGTCTACATGCGCTTTGACCTTGACGACCGGCTCCACGAACTTTCCCTCGCCACGGTGTAACAGCATGAGCCCTGCAACGGGCGTCTTATAGCTGAGCCGCACTCCGTTCCGGTAAATCAATACACTGAGAGGTCTGTCGAAACGGAACGTGGACAGGTCCATTCAGCCTGGCGAGCCGTCGACCGTCGCTCCACGGAACAACCAACCAGTAGCCTGCAGGAGAGCGCACGCAGGGTCCATGGCGGTAGCAGCTGCCATCGACAAGCATGCTCCCTGCAGATGTGCAGCCTTCCTGGGGGGGGGGCTCGCCCCAAAGCAACTGCGCTTGCACATCCCCATCTTCCTGAGCGGGCCTCGGGAAGGCTTCCCCAGGGCGGGAAAGAGCCCCCCAACGTACAAAAGTGCTTCCACAGAGTCGGAGGTATCCTCGTCGGCGGCTCGCTGTATAATACTGGGCTTAACAAGCCCTTAGCGCAAAGGAGCCGCACGCGGACAGCGCCAACTGCGATGCGACGAGGAAGAGGTGGAATGCGGAGGAGGAAAGGGGATCAGCAACCAACAGGGACAGGAACAGGTTATCCGACGTAGTGGCTCTGGTGGGGAAGACAAGAAAACAACACAGAACAAAACAAAACAACAAAAACTTGCCCTCCTGCGCATCTCGGCCTGACGGAGCCGCTTGGGCACCCTCCCCGCATCCGCACGAGCATGCAGAGCGACCGCGGCCAACGGGGCGGCCAGGCCGCCCGCCGCCACCACACGAGTCCTCGGGCAGCCCGTCCTCCTCCATCCACGTCGTCGAGGTCCGCTCCAGCGCCCGCGCCCGCAGCACAGGCAGCGGGGGGCGCCTCCGCGGCACGCCGTGCCGCCAGGCGACGGCGCCGGCGCCGCCTCCGCTCCGCCCTCGCCGCGGAGCGGCGGGCGTATCGGCGGGCAGCGCACGAACACCGGGGGGCAACAGCAGCAGGCGCGGTCGCCGCCGTCGGCGGCTCCGGCCCCTCCCCGCACGCGGAGACCGTGGCAAAGGTGGCCGAAGGAGTGACGGCAGCAACCTTTCGCCGAGGCACCCCAGCCAGCACCGCGGCCCACACGAGGGGCATCCACAGGACGAGCGCCGAGGGCCGAGGGAGCCCCTTCTGGGCCCCGTCGTCTCACGGTTGTGCCTCGCCGGGAGGGGGCGCGCGCAGGCGAGGTCGCGAATTCTCGCTGGAGCCAACACATGGCAACTCTCCATTGCAAACGGATATTAAGATCTACCCCCCCCCCCCCCCCCCCCCCCCCCCCCCACCCCACAAACACCCACACACACACACACACACACACACACACACACACACACACACACACACACACACACACACACACACACACACACACGCACACACACACACGCACACGCACACACACGCACACCACACACACACACACACACACACACACACACACACACACACCACACGCACACATTACACGCGCACACGCACAGCACACACACACACACACACACAACACACACACACACACACGCGCACACGCACACGCACACGCACACGCACACGCACACGCACACGCACACACACACACACACACACGCACACACACACAACCTGGACTTGACAGCTCGCCTTGCGCATTCGAATTGACTTGTGTTTCTGCCCAATAGTGAATTTTGCATACTACTTCATACCATCCCACACAAACCCTGATGGCCCCCCTCCCCTGTCATCCTCTGCAATAAAGTACTATGCGCGCACACTCGCTGAGCACAATTCATCCGCTTGCGAGAACCATCGAAGAACATGTTACGACATGCGCGCGAACGCGCCGTCGTGTGCGCATGACTAGATGCTTAAACAAAAACAACAACAACAACAACAACAACAACAACAACAACAACGACAAAAACGTTCCGTAAGGGTGTCAACATCGAGTCTCCCGAGAGCGCTCTCAACAAAAGCTGGGTCTGCAACACGAGATTCCCAAACAAAACACACACACACACAAAACATGCGCCTCGTTTCCCAGCGCTCTTGCGAATACTACGGGGAACAACCGGTTTCATCACAGTTTCACGACATGCTGCCTATGCCTCTCGCGCGCGCATGTTGAAATCGTTCGACAGCCTTTGCGCGCGTGCTGTCGCAAGAACCCTTGCAAAACAAAAGCAAAAACAACAACAAAACACGTGACATTGTACATTCGCACGCGTCGTCGCGCATCGCGCGCGCATGCCAGAATCGTTCTTTCCGATTCAAAAAAAACGTAGGTGTCGTAGGGAGCTCAGCACGCATTGCACCGAAAACATACAACACCACATGGCGTTGCAACAGCAGTGGTCTAAAAAGCTTGCGGGAGCCCGTGCAAATCGTTTAGGAAGCCATAGGTTTCCAATTTCCCCCTTAAACCTCGACCAAGCGGGCTCCTCGCGCCGCAGAGCGGAAACACTCGAACGCACTTGCGCGCGTGCTGGGCGGGGCACGTTCACCGTGAACGAATATCATGCGGGCCACTCGCGCGCGTCGGCCGCGCGCGCAGGCCGAACCCCTCCAAAACTTGCATCACCGACGCGAGGATGTCGTCATCGCCTTCGTCGTGATCAGCATCGGTGCCACCATTGGCCTTGCCGTCGTCATCGTCACAATTGTCACCATCAGCGCTACTCTGATCATCGCGCCTACAATTTCCGAGGTCGCCATAGTACCACGCCCGCACACGCACCCGACTCGCAATGAAGCGCCCGCTGGGAGGTATCCAGCGGTCGGCGCCATCATGGCCGCGTCGGTCGCCCCAAACTAGCTGGCCGCTTTGCGCGCGAGCCTGCGCGCGCTAGCGCGGCCGCAGGGAGGCACCAGCCAGCGCCAAGCAAACATCGCAATCGCCGCCGCAAGGGTTCTGCAGACCAAATTGCGGGTGGGTGGGTGGAGCAATTGCGCGAGCACTGGAGCTGTCAATTTCAAGGTCTTCAACATTAAATTGCACCACATGAATTGCACCACGTAGGCTGCACAACACAAACTGCAACGCACATATTGCACTACTTAGACTGTACCTCATAGCTTGCACCGAATATGTTGCACTGCACAGATTGAACCACATGTATTGCACAACATATGCTGCAACCCAAAGCGTGCACAACCTATGCAGTATAGGCTAGACTGCGCCAAATAGATTGCAACCCGTAGGTTGCACAGCGTATATTGCTAGACACACACTGTTAGGGGCCCTCGCTGGCTCAATTGTACAAGTAAAAGAGGTGGAGGGGGAAGATGGCTCTCGTGGTGTCGGAGGTGTGGATCCTGGCGTGATCGCCCCCCCCCGCAAGTGCAAAGAAGCCTGCCAACCCCCTCTCACAAGCCAGAGTTGCGAGCCAGAAAGCAAGTCACAAGCTCACCCAGTGAAAGCTCCCACCAGGCCTCATGGCATGGCCTCATGGGAGTGTGCGAGGTTTCCCAGGTCTCCT